CCCTCCTTCCAGTAAAGGTAAGAGAGGGGACATTTATTTATTTTTATTTAAAAAAATATAAAAAAGCATTCACACAGTGCCCCCCTGCACACACTGCCCCCCCCACACATACACTGCTCCCCCATACACACACTGCCCCCACATACACAGCCCACACACACAGACACTGCCCCCACATACACTGCCCACACACATATACACTTCCCCGCATAAACACACTACCCCCACATACACACACATTGCCCCCATGCACACATTGCCCCTACACACACATACACTGCCCCCATACACTGCCCCCCACACACACTGCCCCCTATACACACACACTGCCCCATATATACACTGCCCCAACACACACACACACACACACATTGCCCCCATACACACACTGCCTCCACACACACACACATACACTTCCCCATTCACACACTGCTCCCATACACACTCACTGCCCCCATACACACACTGTCCCCACACAGCCCACATACACACTGCCCCCACACACACACACAGCTCCACACACAAGACTGTCCCTACACACCATACACATCTACACGCTGCCCCCCATACACACACACACATTGCCCCACACACACACATACACGCCTCCCATACACACTGTCCACACACACACCATACACATTCACACTGCCCCCCATAAACACATTGCCCCACACACACACTGTCCCACACACACATACACTGCCCACCTATACAAAACACTGCCCCCCACACACACATAGCCCCCCATACACACATTGCCCCCACACACACAGCTCCCCATACAAACATTGCCCCACACACACACATACACAGCTCCCCATACACACATTGCCCCACACACACTGCACTACCCCCCACACTGTACACATTCACACACTACACCCCCCCCACACACAGAACCTTTCACACACACTGCACCCCTTACATATTGCACCACTCACACACACCACTGCTCCTATGCCCTACTACAGCCCCATATCCCAGCAGACCCCAGGTAAGTTGTCAAACTGTTCTTAAACGCTTTGACTACTTACTCTGGGAGGCGGTCCCGGCACTCCTATATGCCAATTTACCGACTGTGCACATGTCAGAAGTTTTTAACCCCTTTTGCACCACGGGAGGAGGGGGGGTGGCGATGGATGGGGGCACTATAGGGAGCTATAATGCCAGGAAAAAAACTTTGTTTTCCTGGCACTATAATTTCCCGTTAAGTTTTGTTCAGTGTTCAACTACATTTACTTTTTGAAGAAACGTACTCATTTTTATGTAATGGATTTTGCTCAAAATTCTAACGGCCATTTTCTATACTAAAGTTGACACCTGAATAATGATAAACGAGATTGATTTTACCCATCATAAAAGGCAGTTGCCGACAAGAGTTCATAAGAAGTTTAACTGCTGGGTTTATTGTTATTTTGTTGTTTTATGAGTCTAGAAAGATGGAAAACATCAAATTGACACCCGATTTACCTGCAGCTCACAAAAAAACAGGTTTATTAAACCAAGGGATATCAACCATTTTCTGTCAGAGGGCCGGATGCCATGAGTGTGTATGGATGGAGGGCGGCATTCATCCAGATAGCTAAAAATGCCATATAGTAATTAAAAATGTAATATAGGTACAGTAAAGGGAATGTTTTCTTAAATTAGATCTTTCAGCATTTTAGTAAAAACACTATTTTTTTCCCTTATGTGTGATTGCCATATATAAGGGAGATATCTACTAAACAGCTGAAAGGTCAAAATTATGAAAAGCCATTTTCTTCTCCCCATTTCCCTTCCTTTCCTCATGCATGGCATGTCATTATCTGCGTTCCGGAACCCGGAAGTATCCAAGCTTTATTGTTTTATGTGTATATTCCTGCTTATCAAGTTGTGGGTTTATTGCTGGCAAATCCACTACTTCAAGTAAGAGTTTTTAACCTTTTGTCATAAATAAATACTGTGTTTGATACTATTCAATTTGGGCTCCTGCCTCTCTATTTGTTTATACTGCCTAGATATTACATCTGATTCAGAAGAGTATCCTGTCTTGCTATATTGTGGGTTTATCCCTCTCCTTTGGAGCAATTCAAACCCAGAGCCAGGGGTGATAAGGCTCTGGTCCATGTGAGTTGATCCCCAGATATACTTTTAATCTTGTATACTCTGTATATACAGATAGTCTGAACTATATAATGTGTGTATTTTTTCAGAGTACTCAGAGAAGATCCTGACTCCAGTGCAGTTGCTAGCGCACTCCAACTTTCTGGTATCTATTGCTAATTTGTGTCACTGTGTGTCACTTGGGGGTATTGCAGCTGCACTGCAGATATTCTTAAGCTCTTTGACTCCATCTGGTTTTATTATATTTTTTTTTATATATATATATATATATATATATATATATATACATATACATATTCATATTTATATACATATACATATATATATATATATATATACATATATATCAAAATATTAGATGCTTGGCACTTTCCTTAACAAATAAAATAAAGGTAACTAGCCTGGGTGCAAAATCCTATGCGTCAAAAATATGTAAAGAAAAGAATTAGGACGCACTCACAGGGCTTAATAAAGGTGAAAAAATGTCTATTTTAATAATCCATGTGAAAAGTACAAGTGAAGTAATCGACGTTTCGACCCTGTCGGGTCTTTTTCAAGATCTTGAAAAAGACCCGACAGGGTCGAAACGGCGATTACTTCACTTGTACTTTTCACATGGATTATTAAAATAGACATTTTTTCACCTTTATTAAGCCCTGTGAGTGCGTCCTAATTCTTTTCTTTATATACATATATATATATATGAAGCAAAATCCAAATAGGTTATGGTGGGGAAAAATTGTGATTGAAAACCCCTTCCACCTGAAGTCTGTGGATAGTTGATACAATGTTAAACAAAGATCTGCACACCAGTCAAGCCATAAGACTTGCTTTTCCCACAGAAATCCCAAATCTGCAGTGATGTTACAACCGCAGAGGATTCTGGGTGGGCATATGCAAATTAGTTTAACAAAGAATCACATTTTTGCCTCATTCCATTTTAAACATGGATTCCTTTTAATCTGTGTTTGCAGTATACAACTGCTTGGAACACAATTTAGGAAAAGATGCAAAACCAGTGAACCACTCATGGACAGCTGTTTCGTTGTTAATGTCTGTTAATTCGTTGTTAAAGTCATCAGCATGAGGTTGGTTACTGGTTTGCTTATTGAGGCTTGGTAGTGCTTGTGAAGCAAAATCCAAATAGGTTATGGTGGGGAAAAATTGTGATTGAAAACCCCTTCCACCTTTTCATTGTATTAACTATATATATAAATAAAAAAGGCCATAGGCCTGAATTTGTGGGTTCCTGTTAGAGTAACCCCTCCCACCGCTCCCTCTAATAAACTTACTATCATCATTACATTACCTCTGGTGGGCCGTCTTTATTACAGGCCTACCCGTATGTTGGTTTCGGCACAGCACTACCAACTTTCCATTTCTTCTCTATTTTCATATACGAATTAAGTTCCGACTACAAATATATATGTGTGTGTGTGTGTGTGTGTGTGTGTGTGTGTGTGTGTGTGTATACTGTATTTGCCAGTCATTAATTAACAGCAGGACACTCAGGAAAACTATACAAGAACCATTGAAAAACAGAAGGAAACAAAATCCTGCCTACCATATTTTAATCAGTTGAACACTTTCGTATGCACAAAGCTCCACAGTAATAAATCTCACAGTAGTGTGCTAATGTTTATTATCACAGAGCTCCTGAGGAATCAACAGTAATGTACAGTGTTAAAGTGTATCACTGAACTCCACACCAATAAATCAAAGTGATGTGCAATGTGCATGAATGTTTGACAGAGCTCCTCTTTGTTTGAGTGTGATATGTGTGTCAGCTTGAATTCAAGAAACAAATGCTCACAAGTAAACAAAAATAATATGCACAATAATTATGCCTTCTATTAGGACAAAGGGCATCAAACTGAAACCCTATTTGGTGCCCTGAGCAGCGACCTTTACTCAGGGCCGGATTAACATAGGGAGTGATGGAGCTGCAGCTCCAGGCCCAGGCCCATGGAATTTCCCCACACACTACTCTTAGGGATTCCACCTGGCTTTTATTTTATTGGCACAGCCAGTATTTGAGGCTTCCTGGCTGGTGCCAATATTACAAGAGATTACTATGCAATACCAGCACTGGCCAGTAGGGGTTGCTGTGTGTGGAGACAGACAGGGATAGGAAGTTCCAGCATATCCCTCCCTGCCTATCTATACTCACTGATCTGCAGGGGTGCAACTACAGAGAGTCCAGACAGCAACTCCCACCCTGGAGAGACAGCCTACAGCTCAGGGAAGTGAGGGATGGGGGGAAAGGCTGCAAGGAGACATATACTGAGACACTAAGGGACACTGGGAGACATTATGGCAGACACTGAGACACTAAGGGATATTGGGAGACATTATGACACAGACACATGGGGACACAGTGTCAACATATCTCCCAGTGCCCCCAGTCTGCCAGTGTCTCACTGTCCCCATGTCTCCCAGTGCCTCAAGTGTCTCAATGTCCCCATGTCTCCAAGCTAGTGTCCCTAGTGTCTGTGGCCCTGGTGTCTCCTTGTCCCCATGTCTCCCAGTGCCCCCATGTCTCAATGTCCCCATGTCCCCCAGCCAGTGTCTCTAGTGTCTGTGTCCCTGGTGTCTGTGTCCCCATGTCTTCAAGTATCCCCTATATTGCCAGTGTCCCCATGCGTCCCAGCCAGAGTCCCCTAGTCACCCAGTGTCACTGGTGTCTCCGTGTCCCTAGGTCTCCCCGTGTCCCCAGGTCTTCCCGTCTTCCTAGTGACATGGGGACCCTGGGATACATGGGGACACAGGGAGACATGGGGCATTGAGACACTGTGATACATAGGATCACTGGGAGACCTGGGGACATGACACTAGGGGACACTGGGAGACATGGGGCACTGAGACACTGATACATAGGAACACTGAGACCTGGAGTAATCAACACATCTATACAGCAGAATCAAACTAAGTAGTTTTTTTGGTGATTTTACAGCATTTTCTCTTATGCCACTCCTTGTGATTTACATCATGTGATGTCACCCATACATATTTAATTATGCAAATTAGCAAGGCCGGTATGTTTTTTCCAAGAAAGGTGGCAACCCTAACTACTTTTCACATACTCTTACTTAAGTATGGAAACTTAAGAGGGATGTATGGGAACAAAACTTGTGTGGACTGGCTGACAATGAATATAGTTAAAGGGACACTAGAGTCACCAGAACAACTACAGCTTATTGAATTTGTTCTGGTGAGTAGAATCATTACCGTCAGGCTTTTTGCTGTAAACACTGTCTTTTCAGAGAAAATGCAGTCTTTACATTACAGCTTAGTGATAACTTCACTGGCCACTCCTTAGATGGCTGTTAGAGATCCTTCCTGGGTCATGGCTGCCTAAAATGCATCCAAACATTCAGTGTCTCCTCCCTCTGCATGCAGACAGTGAACTTTCCTCATAGAGATTCATTGATTCAATTCATCTCTATGAGGAGATGCTGATTGGCCAGGGCTGTGTTTGAATCATGCTGGCTCTGCCCCGATCTACCTCCTTGTCAGTCTCAGCCAATCCTATGGGTTAGCACTGTGATTGGATTAGGCCACCACTTCTAATGATGTCAGCAGACTGCTTGTTTTTCTGAGTCTAACAGCATGCAGAGTTACAGCTTGAATACAGTAAGATTTTGCTATATTTATGGAGGCATGAGGGGCCCAGGGGGGGCTAGATGGTGGTGTTAACACTATAGGGTCATGAATTCATGTTTGTGTTCCTGACCCTATAGTGATCCTTTAAAGGACCACTATAGTGCCAGGAAAACATACTTGCTTTCCTGGCACTATAGTGCCCTGAGGGTGCCCCCACCCTCAGAGACCCCCATCCGCCAGGCTCTGGGGAGAGGAAAGGGGTTAAACTTACCTTTTTTCCAGCGCCGGGTGGGGAGCTCTCCTCCTCCTCTCCGCCTCCAATCCTCCTCTTCGGCTGAATGCGCATGCGCGGCAGGAACTGCACGCGCATTCAGCCTGTCTCATAGGAAAGCTTTTATAATGCTTTCCTATGGACGCTGGCGTCTTCTCACTGTAATTTTCACAGTGAGAAGCACGCAAACGCCTCTAGCGGCTGTCAAGAGGCTGGATTAAACCATTTATAAACATAGCAGTTTCTCTGAAACTACTATGTTTATAAAAAAAAGGGTTAATCCTAGAGGGACCTGGCACCCAGACCACTTCATTAAGCTGAAGTGGTCTGGGTGCCTAGAGTAGTCCTTTAAGGTAATGCTGACTTTGGTCTTTCTAACAATGTGGCATGTTCCCTTTCTTCTACACTCACTACATACAGCTTTTCTCTGTCCCAGACCATATACCAGGAGCTTCTGCCTGCTAGTAAGAAGGTAAGGAGACAAGTGGACCAGCGAGTGCTAGGGGACAGTCCTTAGAAAGCATTGAGCGAGCACATCATTAGATGCATTTATGCCAAGCTCAGGGTGCTGTCTGCATAGTATGCCCTTAGTTGGCCAGCTGCATGATTGGCAGGCAGCCTGACATGCATTCATACCAGGATGGCCTTCTAATTCTTTGGGCAGACATATCCTCTTTTTGGGCATGTTTGCCCCTTTTGGCAGGTTACATGATTTGTGTCAGTGGCACACCCTTTTACCGTGCCCATTGACTTCCTGCTTGACTGGACACTGCTGTTAGGGGTTATGGGTTTACTTGAAAGATGAAAACATAAATTAGTGAGAGATTAGCCTAGGGTATGTGTTTTCTTAGAGCTGCTGTTTTCTTTCTCTCCAGCACTATCTCCATCAGATACATGATGCTTGGGAGTGTTTTACTGTTTTTGGTCGATATGATTCTGTAATTAGGCCCATCATAATTGTCAGCACCAGGCCCACTGGGCTCTTAATCTGGCCCTGCCTTTACTGTTGGTAGATGGGCTAGCTATCATAAATCTATAAAAATATAATACGAATAAACATGTATATTCAAGATTAAAAGAACCCTCCAGGCACCATAATAACTGCTGCACATTGTAGTGGTTTTGGGCTTGGGATAGTCCTTTAAACAAACACTGAAGGCATAAATAATATCAGGAAGTATTACTTTACTGAGAGGGTAGTGGATGCATGAAATAGCCTTCCAGCTGAAGTGGTAGAGGTTAACACAGTAAAGGAGTTTAAGCATGCGTGGGATAGGCATAAGGCTATCCTAACTATAAGATAAGGCCAGGGACTAATGAAAGTATTTAGAAAATTGGGCAGACTAGATGGGCCGAATGGTTCTTCGAATGGTTCACCCAGACCACTTCAGCCGTCACATTCTATGTTTCTATGTATTAATCATCTTGATTCATCTTAATTCATTAATTACAAACCACAGCATTGATTTAAATGACAATTTTATTTTTGCTTTTGCATATGTCTTCATTTTTATCTGAAGAGGGTAAATATGATTATCCCCTTACATTCATTTATAACGATTCAGAAACATGTACTCTGTTAAAAAAAAAAATATATATATATATATATATATTTTTTTTTTTTAAATCGAGTTAATCTTTTTTTTTTTTTACATATAAATAACACACATAGCTAGTACATAATCATTTCAGTGTTTATCTAATTAAATAAAAAAATATATATTTCTAACACTGAATTTAATGTGGATTTAATGGATATAAATAAATACGAACAGCTGTTGCAGGCACTTATAGTTAATACCGAGTGAGTAATATTCTAGAAATGAACCCTGCAGCATATATAAAACATCACCGCAAAATGAGTACATACATAACTCTCAACCTGTTTTTAAACCTGTTGCTGTAATTTTGTATATATTATATATGTGTAAAATATAATACTAAAAATATATATAAGAGAAGCAAATCCGCACATGAATAGTTGATTTATGGCCATTGATTTGTTATAGCTATTATTATTTTTCATTTTCTTATCCATGTTAGGTATAAGTGGAGAAGGCTAAACATTGGTTGAGAGCTACTAATACTGAGGTAGTTATCCCGCAAACCATCAATAACCAGAGCTGACTGGTGCATATCATATACATAAATATGCTTTTTGTAAACATTAATTCTATTTCATTATTAAATATTCTTTTCAAAGATCTTGTTGGGAATTTGAACTAGTGCAAGTAGTCCTAGAAGGGTTTGTAGTCAGTTATCTAAACCAAGTCGTCAGTGATCTGGTTTGGTGTTGATAAAAGTAGTAGGTTCCTCTCTAGGTTCCAGATTCCAAACTGAGAAAAAGAACATATCAATGAATCTAGAACCTTTGCACTTCAAACAGTCATCTCCAGAATCTGTTCGTAAACAAGCATAGTGAAAAAAAAAATAATAATTGAATTCAGTTATTTAATTCAATATGATGTAATTGCATACAATGCTTATTTAAACCCTTCAAGCTATGATGTCAACATTCCCTCAAGTCTTTTAGGCAGTCCTTATTCTTTGGCACAACATTGGCATCGGGCTGAACACTCCTTAATAAAGCTTCCGCATGTCCAGATGTGGAAAATAAGTCCCATAAATGTTCTGTGGTATCTCATAAATTCCTTTCCTTTTCTTCAAGCAGAAAGCCAGCTATTAGGGAGACATAAGGAGAATATCATAATGTCAGAAGTTGTAACACAATTCAGAATATATGTGACATAAATAATTGTAAATTTGTTTAAAAAAAAAAAATTACTTAACAAGCCTCATTTACACAAAATACAAATAGTGTGTGTGTATATTATAAAATTTATATATAAAAAAATTTATATATTTTTTTTATATATAATTTTTTTGTACTATATATATATATAGTACGAAAGGATGAGAGCACTCACTGAATTTCAGAAAAGATTCAGTTGCACCATATGGCCATATTGTGTTGAGCCCACCACTACTTCGCAGCACCCCAATATCAGTGGGTCCTACTCTAATTCCAACATCGGATATACAAATTAAATAGTGCTAGTGTTAAATAAGCTAAAGTGTATTTAAATAATCTGTTGTAAGAGTGTTGTGAATATATATATATTTATATAATGCAAAATACAAAATGTTATTGTTAATGTGTTAAAGAATGGCTTATCAGAACATATTATTTTCTGAAGTGAAGCAAGCAGCTGTATGTCCTGACTCATTCAAGAATACATGTGAACAGACTAACTGCAAAGGCGGAATGGTAGATAAGAATAAAAGCGGAATGTCGTCCTACAAGAAATGAAAGGGCGGCATAACGTGAGGAGTCAGCTGTCTGTCAATCACTGGAAGGGTGGAGTGAAAGTCAAAAGTGCAGTATCATTCATTGGACCACATAAAGAAATTAACCAAAATGCATTATTGTATGACTATTATTTAACCCCTTAAAGACACATGACATGTGTGACATGTCACGATTCCTTTTGGTTCCAGATGTTTGGTCCTTAAAGGGTTAAAGGTATGAAAGGTACATGTACTTTTTGCTAGGCTTTAATTATGTACTAAGGTAACTCAATGGTACTCATTGTAGTCTAATGAGATTGTATACAGATAGAGAGAGAAAGAGAGACAGTAATGGAAGATAGCTAGGTAGAAAGGTAGACTGACTGATGATGGATGGATAGATAGATAGATAGATAGATAGATAGATGATTATATGCTAACACAAGATCTTATAAGTGTAAACAATACAGGGTGAAGTGTAATTCTCATTAATAGCTAATGACTTTCATAAGTATTTGCATACCTAATTCAAACCAGGATTAAGCAGAGACAGAGACTTCATCAGAACAAAACAAAATAAACAAAACAAAACAAATTTTTCTTACCGCAAAAATAGCAAGGAAGAGTATCACAAGGGCAAGAAGGACAGCCAGGCAAATTAGGATGATGGCCCAGAATGGCAAATCATTGTCTTTGACGACTTCTGTGGAGCAGAAAATATGGAATTGGAAAGTGATCAGTTGGCAATTTTATACATGTTTGTCATACATATATTGTCCTTCTGTGTCCTATCTGTATGTTTTCACTTTTTCGTTATAGTATTCATATTTCTGTAGATGCACACAAAGGTTTTAAACATTGTAACTCAAAGAGGGTAAAGAGATCCCTTTTAACCGCTAAAGAATAATACAGATGAAACCTTTCACTAATCTAGCAAGCCATGTCTTGGTAATTATCAAGGAATCCTTTTGCCTTTTTTTCCCAACACTACTTATTTTCTCTTTTCACTAACTCAGTTCCGCTGATCATTGTCTTTCCTATTTATTTCCCTCATTCTCCACTAATCTCAAACTCGTTTACTGCAACGCAATGCAACGCTGATATATATCAGCACCCTGACTATATTGGGGCAACAGGGTATTAACATACAGCTGAATGCAAATGCAGTCATAGCAAGTGACTTTTTAGTTCAATCGTTTTTGCATTCTTCTCTTATTTTAAGTAATTGGTATTTAATGCATGCCCATCAATGTTTGAAGGTTTAATACACCACTAACATCAAGGCAATGTTTTAGGGCCTTTTACTGTTTAACAGGCTACTGAGCATTTATAATTTTTTTTATTGAGTCTAGAAACATTACTCCCAAACTAACTTTAATTTTAACTTAATTTTTTTCCCCAACACAATGTGGAATTCTGAAAAGTGCTTTTAAATGGCTGATTGTATCATTTTTATTTTGCTCTTCTAAATGCTGCACACATTTGGAATGTAATCCAATGCTTAAAAATATGAACTACTGCATAAACGTAGTCTCAGGGTTTATTATTTATGATTAATGATGGATCAGTCACATATATTTACCTGCCACAACTATATCCTTGAGCATAAAATTGGATCCCAGCAGTTGTCCAGTGGTGGTCCCATTATAAAACGCTTTTTCCACACTCTGCTTGTTTACAATGGGGTCATCTTCAAAGTAGCAGTTGCAGGAAGCTATGATAGATCCATTCCTGTACATCAAGGTATATTTACATATAAGTAGGTACATGGAGTAAAATTATCAGCTCTTCTTCTACACCCACAGCAATTGTCCCACACTATGCTGTTTAATTAACTGTCAATATGGTGTATTTATGCGGCACTCTCAATAAATTCAATAATTAAAGGTCTTATTTGTCTCCCAGTATAACATGATTCATGGGGCTGTTCCAAAATGAATTTAGATTGTTCAAGACCCCAGACGATGTTACCCCCTATCCCCAGTAACACCCCTATTTTCTAATATACCACATCCTTCATATTTCAATGTTCCGTACCTCATTGCTGCAAGCTTGCAGAATTTGAACTTGCTGGCCAGGGAACTGTTTCGGTACAGCTTATTCATCTGAAATAGGAAATCAAAACTATAAAACATACTTTCTTTTCGGCACAGTAAGTCTGTGTTTTCAAGTTAGCTTAAGTATCGGATAAACAAAAATTGTATGCATTGTTACCAGTAAGGTGGGTCCAGAACGACAATCACACTTGAGAGGAAAATGTGTCCTTCCTCTTTTTTTTTTTTTTAGATATTAGAGAAAATACGAAAAATGGAATGGTAGAGCATAAGCGAATGTGTGAGAATGTGAAGCAGTTTTTTTATTTTTTTATTTATCAATACTGGATGTGTCATGGTAACCTGCTTCCTTCATGTTTCAGCACTAATGTACGTAAAAGAGGCATGTCCCGGTCTCTCAGCCAGCATTCATTGAGTTCTAATGTTTAAACAGAATGATTAGATTTCAAGAGATCCCAGAAGGAGATCCTTATATTGGTATTTATAAGGAACACTTTCCAGTCCTAAGAGTGAAAATAAAGGGAAATAGACACAATTTGGTAACAGAGTAATTCACTTTGTTACTTATTCAGTAGTTTATTAGGCTTTATTTATTTGTTGCCAAAATGAAAACTGACATAAAGTGTAACTCTGTTTACCAATTAAACTAGGGTGTCTATTAATGTAATGGGAGTATCACTAATCCCTCTAAAGCAGTGTTCCCCAACCCAGTCCTCATGGACCACCAACAGTTCAGATTTTGTCAGTGTCTCCAAACAGGGAAATACATAAATCCTGGACTGTTAGTGGTCCATGCTCTAAAGAAGATGAATTAGACTCCCATTTCCCTTGACAAAGGTGCCGATTGAGCACCAAAGCGCGTGTCGGGTTTATTTAATTTTATTTTAACTTGCACTATGCACTGATTTATCACGTATTCACTATTTTGATTAATAGAGTGTTGGTGGGATTGCAGGGAATTTTATGGGGATAGCCACAAGGATAGATGCGGAAGGTATTGGTGACTCAGAATAGGAGTAACTAAATTACATACTATTATTAGCACCCACGAGTGTGCAGATAGGGAGAACTAGAAGAAGTCTACTCTACTATTTAACCTAGCATTTGGCAGGTAGCTGCAGCTATGATAGCTGATATTATTGGAACCCCTGAAGGTGCAGACAGGGAGAACTAGGAGAAGTCTATTCTACTATTTAGCCTAGCATTTGGCAGGTAGCTACAGCTAGTATATTTGTCAGAATAGCAATGGATCTATACAGCATTTAAGCACCTATAAAGGTGCAGGCAGGAAGAGTTATAGGATTCACTCTTTTTTGTATGGTGGATTCTACTAATTTCTTTTATACCCCTTTCCCATCACTGTGGACGCTGTAACCTCCTATAACTATCCCTATTTCCCTCTCTATAAATAGCATCATCCTTAATGTGGCAATACTCTCTTGATATCCCCATTTTAGGTTGTGTATATGGGAAGTAACCATGAATAAATCTTTCCCTTTCTAATCTTGTTGAGAGCAGACCCCACCGTGGGATTGGACTAGATAATTGTATTCTATTACTATATTACTATAAAACAGACCCAGAAATGGGAGTCTGATTCATATTCTTTAGTGGGATTATTGATACTCCCACTACGTTAATAGACACTCTAATTTAATTGGTAAACAGAGTTACACTTTATGTCAGTTTTAATTTTGGCAACAAATAATTAAAGCCTAATAAACTACTGAATAAGCAACACAGTGAATTATTCTGTTACCAAATTGTATCTATTTCCCTTCATTCTATCACAGCTGCATTCACTCTTAGGACTGAAAAGGGATCTCCTTCTGGGATCTCTTGAAACCTAATCATTCTAAGTTAATTAGGGTTACGCCCTAGAGTAGACTTGGTACCACCAAAGTTGACCAACCCTTAGTAGTAACATCTACTGCATAATAAGGGTTTTCTAGTAATTTTCAAATACTAATGTTTAAATAATAATACGGTTACCGCAGATGATGAGTTATTACAAAAACATTTTCATGGGCTACTCTTGGCATCTACTATGGGAAAACTAAAACATACTAAAGGCATCAAAGTAGGTGAAACCTTAAACAGATAACAAACAGGAAGAATTACTACAATTATCTATAGAACAAGAACAAAAATGTATCTTAAACTCATTCCTCAGACCGACTAATTCTCCTGTTTGTACGATCAACACTTTCCTTAAATAATGGTAGACTGTCTATGTTTAATTTTTTTTTTGTCAAAGACTGGATTCCTTGGCACCATTTTAGACATGGCAAGGAGTATCAGGAGACTGTGTGACAAAAATGAGGAGTAAATAGCACTATCTTCACTGTAACACATTCACATAACATGTGAGTAGCTACTAGCTACTTACCGCTTGTTCTATTTCCGCTTGTAACTTAAGCTGTGCTTCGGGATCCGAAGGTACAAAATAGTTGACAATTGTGTAATTGATGCCAAAGTTCAAGTCTGAAGCTAATAGTACTGGTACAGCAGTTGTGGTGGTGGTAGTTGATGTAGTGGTTGCAGTGGTAACAGACTGATTTGTTGGATCAACCGCTCTGTTAGCTTCAAAATATAAAGAAAATACATATTTTCATAAAAGAGGTTATGAATATTAAAAATTTTAAAAAATTGGTCAATATTTAAAGCCATGGTTTCCTATATTACAGCATGAAGCACAAAATATGTATAAACAATATAATTCTAGAGTGATATAATGATCAACATTTCCCAATGCAAACTCAAAAGATACTAAGCTATGTAGACCAGTTAAAATGTGTAGTGAAATAAAAAGAAATACCAAATACCATGACCATTCAGTGATTTTAAGTCATCATTGTGCTTGGGGTCTGTATGTGCAGTGTCTCAGAGGTTGCTGCCCAGTGGCAGAACTATCGTTGGGTGAGCTTGTGCAGCTAACCAGGTACCGCATGTTCAGCGGGCCGATCTGGTGGCACATGCACAGCCCTTTAACAGAGTGGCCACTGTAGTAGCAGCCATGCTGGGAGGAAGTGAGAGACAGTCACCTCCTCCTACATGCAACGAAAGCTGCACTGGAGGCAGAGGAGGGAGGAGCAATGAGAGATCCAACTCCAGACCCACAGTCCCATCAGCATCTGCCAGCATCAGTTAATGGGTATGTGTCAGGATCTTTGTATGTGTCAGTGTGTGTATCTGTGTGTCCCGGTGTGTATATATGTCACTGGTGTATCTAAATGTGTGTGTATCTATGTGTATGTCAGTGTGTGTGTTTATTGTAGTGTATATCTGAATATATGTGTGTTTAAGTATGTGCATGCATATCTGTGTGTAAGTATATATGTGGCAGTGTATGTATGTGCATACATCCCAGCAATCAAGCACAAACATTACATGCAAACACACCCTTGCTTTTTAAACTCCCAAATTAAGTACAAACACACCTCTTCATTCAAACATCAACACTGCACATATATTTACACCCACATTTAAAAGCCAACCTTACATACAAACACACCCCTGGAATCTAACACAAACATTAAATACATGACAAACATTACATACAAACACCCCTTGTGTTGCAACGCTAAAGATATATACAAACACTCCTGAAATCAAGCACAAACACTAAACTCAAAAGCATACCTACATTAAAAAGCCAACAGTACATACAAATACACCCCTACATGCACTCATATACGCAATAGAAAAAATGCTTACATTCAAACTCACAAACACTGCTCACAAATACATTCAAGGATAGGCAAATGGCAAATCCCCAGTTGGCATATCATCTTGTGAGTTCGACAGATGGGGATCTACCTTTTGGCCTCCTTTGTGCTCTCTCTCTCTACATTAGTTCTGCCTCTGTTGCTGCATCATTAGTTAATGTTAAATATGTATAGAGATAGTAGGATACCAAAGGGAAATAACTTTAGACACAATCCAAGTGAAATGTGTCCAAGTGTCCCAATGCTCCTAGGCACCAAAGAGAGACTCCAGGGGTCTCTCAGGGTCTAACCTGAGACAATCAAGAAAGACAAAACAAAACAGAGCATGTAGGTTCACCACAAGGGAACCTACAATGCTTTATGAAGATATAGATAGTAGTATTGCTAAATATAAATATAAAGTAATTAACCTGCAGCGAAGTAAATGTCCACTAGATACTGTACTGCAGAATCTCAGTGGACATTTACTTCGCTACAGGTTAATTACTTTATATTTATATTTATCGATACTACTATATATATCTACAGGAAGCATTGTAGGTTCCCTTGTGGTGAACCTACATACTCTGTTTTATTTTGTCTTTAATGTTAAATATGTGCATATTAGGTATGTGTCATCAGCACCCCCCATGCCACCCAAATTCTCCACTCAGCCAGTCCTCCAGAGTGCCCCTTTCTCTGGATCAGTTTGCATTCTTTTTTTCTTTATTTATTTTTGAGCTTTAGAAATCTACTTACGATCAATAAAAATGCTGTCAGGCACTAAGGTGTAGTTGCCCAAAGAGTTGCCCGCTTCTGTCACATTTCTAAAAGCCAGAAGAATGTCATTTTTTGTGACACCCTTGGCTAGGGTATCAACTTTAAATATGCACACGGATTCTGCTGTGGTGTAAGGCACATTTGGAGTTGACCTATAAGGAAAAATATTTGTAAAACACTGCCAGTCTACAGTCATTTTTTTTAATTTTTGTGTTTTATTTATTTTCGTATTTTAATGTTGGAGAAAGCTCACCTGAATGCACTAATAGAGCAGTTCACAAAAAATTTGCTGATGTCGCTATTGTTAAAAGCTTTGTTCAGCTGCAGAGAATAAACAAAGAATGTAAAATCATGCCATTGTCAAGTCAAATCATCGTAACGTGCATAATGGGTTTGCGTGCCTAGTTCAACAACACACTTTAAAATTCATGGAAGTCAACTGGATAAAGAGAAAAAAACTTTGGAAAAATGTATTATAAAAATCTAGGAAAAGTTATTTGAGATGAACTCAAAGACTATGTGTTTCTCATGCTCTTTTGCACAAAGCACCATCACAATACTTTCATAGAATATGTATTACAATGTAAGTAAGTGAATTGTTAATGTCACACAATTTTATGAACATTAACTTCACTTATTAAATTGGAATGCTTTTGGAAGCTTTTCCTTCCGGTACCTTGGTAACCCATCCTGCTTCCTCTCCTGCAACTGTGTCATCAGAAAAACTAACTATTCATTCCAGATTATTCTAGCAAACTTCTTTTTCCCATACATGAAAAACATCCAACCCTTACCCCTTGTGTCACTTTACCCCACCCCCTCTAAAAGAGTGGTTTCCAAAATTTAGGCTAAAATAATCAAGCTTTTTGATGGAAACTCACCAGGTTGTTGAGTAGATTTTCGTTAACCTTGTATTGTTCTGAGTTCTTATTTTCCAAATCTAAGCTATGGTTGAGGTTGGTAATGGTGAAATTAAGAACAAATGGCTTAGGTACAATGAACGAAACTGTTGTCACTGTTGTGGATGGTGTAACCGCTGAAATAATAAAATAGGCAAAGTGTCAAAATGAAAAACAAAAGATTTTTCTCTTTCAGGGAAATATTGTCAAAAAGAGTAACTTAAAAGTATGTGGTTTTGCCATATAAATTCAGAAAACATTAAAATAGAGCCGAAAAGCACAGTGGACTAAACTGAAACAGACATAATATCAACTGCTTGCCATGAACGGAACAGAAGAACTCACTTGTGGAAATATAACCAGTTGTTTGCAGGAACACACTCCTCACCATAACAACTTCATCGAATTCAAGCCACACTTCCAAGTCCTCTGGATATAGAGCTAACTCTCATACCCGTGCGGTGCCATCAAGGTCTGTCATAAAGAATAATTGTAGGCAATGCTTCTCTATGACAGGATCAATGGAGGATCGCAGCAAGTGCTAAGCATGTCCCTACAGTCCCCAGTGCTGCTCTATGAGAAGCATTTGATAGGGCAATCAAACAGGTAGGTTCACCACTGGAGAGAAGGTAAGTAAAATCTTTTTATTTATTATTTTTTAGTAACAGGGCACCCATTAAGGGACCCTTTCATTTGCTAGAGCCCGGAAAAATATAGGAATACAGATTGTATCTATCGTGGTTCTTTAATGCAGTACCTTCAGTATGCAGTATAGTACATCAAATACCCATCTTATTTATTTCAGTAGAAGCGATTTTTTTAATTTTGCAACAATGTGGTAATAAAAAAAATGATAGACTACAAAATGGCAATCAAATTATTCTTTCGATCAACATATTAATTATTATATCATCATCTTTATTGTTTTACTATAAAGAACCCTTTCCCCTGTCACGGTCAAAATATTCTTTCTTCAGATCTAAACTGGTGAATTAAATGCAAGTTCATGAATGTGAAAAACATAACTAGATAGGTATTAGATATACAATCCTGCATTTGAACACTATCTATTGTTTGTGTGTACATAAAATAACTGGGGGCATTTACATTAGTGAGAATCATTTGTCTGCCCATGAGTTCTTTTGAATGTCTGCACACGATGTGGTCTAGCACGTGAAAAAAAAATCTTTGGACGTTTTTAGTAAGGTTGAGAGACATACAATTGGACTTGAGTCGCTGATGACTACTTGGACAATACAGTCCTAAGGCAATGTCATTCTTTAAAGACAATGTTAGTAGACATAAATATGTTGTTAAAGCACACAGATCCTGAGGAGATGTCTCCTAGGGTGTTAAAATAATATGTCTACTATGTATATATTTACAGGTAACAATGGAAACGTCTGTTCCAAACAGAAGCTACACTATTGCCATTGTTTTTCATTTTTTTACAAGTCCAATATAAGAAATGCATTATATCTGTCATCTATTGATAAAAATAAATAATAATACTGTAATAATACGTACTTGTAACTGCTTGTTCATTATAGCCTGTAAAATACAAACACAGTGATTCAGATTACAGATAATTCAGAGATACAATAGTTTAGGCAGCATGACACATATAATTATATTAAAAATGATATGCTTGTTTTCATAATGGAATGTTATGATTACATTGTGTTCTTTATATTTACCATTAACATAAAGACTGTTCTTGTCCAGTTGATAAGTTCCCAGTTTGGTGACACTTTGGGTCTGTGCAGCTATCTCTTTGTAGAAGGCCACTCTGTCAAATGGAGTGCTTGTTGTACTTTTCTTCAAGGTACAGATGGAGTTTACTTTGGTACCAGGTGAAACAGACCTATTTAACAAAGAATTTATTTTAATTTCCTGCCTCGGCATTAGCAGGGTAACCCAATTTTGGAATGATTGGTGCCTGCCGACTAACATTCCCTGAGCAGATAATAGAATACGATAAGTGCTGCGTAAAAAGTAAATTCAACTTATATGTTGGCATTCTATAGAAACATTGCTGGCGAAATACTTTTTAATATATATATATATATATATATATATATATATATATAGTAAGAAATATGAATGCCATGTGCATTTATTTAGAATGTATGGTATCGCTCATTGCAAAATTACATTTTAAAATCTACAACATTCTCCTTTCATTGAGCTCTTTATACAGTTTTATGTTTTGTACATTGATACGACTTGGGCTTTGGGCTAGAGAATTTATAAATAAAATATTTATTGGAACACAAAGAAGGAATTGACTGGGTGAATGTCCAAACTCTCAGTCGCAAAGTCCATTGCCCTAATACCGAACGTCCAGAAAAGTAATATGCATGCATTGCTGTCACTGAGAAATAGTAAGGTATCACAATTAAATTTAAGAAGAACCCATCGTGCTGCTTCATTCAGGGAAGTGGTGGTAATGTACATGAGCTTAATGGATGTTTTCGGGGGGAGGTTTCACTGTATACCTTTTTATAATGACAGTACAGTCCTGCATCAAGTTTCAGTAAAAATGTAATTACTATTTAATTACAGGTTTTAAATTGGTGGCTGAGAAGCTAATAAGTCATCTGTATGTTTTGCCAGAAACAGCAAACATATGTCATTTGTATGTTTAAGGTTTTTCTATTTTATTTTAAAGGATTAGCCTATTCTTTGAGTAGTCATGACTGGTGGGCATCAGTTGACACAAGAGTCAAGTGAAGCTTTGTGGTGTTTTAATGAACAACAATAAAACCCAACAAGGTATCCAACTGCCAATGTCTCTCTATTATAAACCTTATACTTACACAAAGGAGTCAACATAACAATTTGTGTACGTGCTGCTAACCGAACTGTTCTTGAAGATTGGGTCCAACTTAGATAAAAAACAAACACAAGGAAATGTGATTTAATGCATACAGTAAAATGTAATTTGTGTCTTACTGCTAGAAATAAAACCATCAAGAGATTCCGGGTTACCCACATACACACACACTCACTAGCACACACATGTTCTCACTGATATACATATGCAATGTCACTTACACACTAACACACATGCTCTTACTGACATACACACATAATGTCACTTACACACTAACATACACACTCTCACTGCCATACATAAACAATGTCATTTACACCAGTTTGCATATAGTTTCTTTATACACACACACACACATACACATTTACAACCATGCACAAAATAATTACTCCCCCTTATACTCCAGATGGGCCATGCCTACATGCTGTAACTGGAGGAGAACAGAACCAGCCTGTAGGAAGTATCCCTCGTTTGTAATGGGGGAGCAGTAGGGCCATGCACTGTGAGTACAGGCTGCTTCCTGCTCCCTTCAGAGGGCTTCTGGTGTCCACAGACAGGGGGCAGCTGGGATACCAGGTTATGTCCTGGTTTCTCCCGTCTGCAGGAAACTATAAATCCTGATCTTTTGCAGGAGTTACAGTAAACCCTGCTTCTCGAGAAGATAATCTGTGGTGACATTGATACAGAGGGAGCCAGGCAGTAGAAATGGCAGTGGGGGTAGCTAAAGAGCTGCTAGTCCAGTGCTTCAGCCCAAGAGAGGAGCAGCCACCAGTAACTTTTCCAGTTGGCGCCCCCAGCAGGTCGGCAGCCCCCGCGGGCCCTGTATATAATATGTACTTGTTTCTACTGCACATAAATGTACTTTAATTTAAAACTTAGACTATAGAAGGACAGTTGTGTATTGACATGTTGCCAAGATGTTAAAGCACCATTTGTGGTACCAAAATCAGAATAACTAGACCCAAGACGTGAAACTGTCTGCAGCTCTAAGGGCTGCATGACCAATA